TTTTGTTTTAATATTTAGATCTTTGATCCATTTTGATTTAAATATAGTATGGTGAGAGACAAAGGTCCTGTTTCATCTTCTACAAACAGATAACTAGTTTTCCTAGCACTACTTGTTAAGCAGACTATCTTTCTTCCAATGTGTGATTTTGGATTCTTTGTCACAGTTCAAATAGTTGAATATATATATATTGGAAGGTTTCTGTATCTTCAGTACTGTTCCACTGATCCACATATCTGCTTTTGTTCCAGTACCAGTGCTGTTTTTATCACTATTCCCTTGTAGTATAGCTTGAAGTCAGATATTGCTATGCCAGTTGCTTTTCTCTTGTTGTCCCAAATTACTTTTGCTATTCAGAGTTAATTTTAGAATTGTTTTCCTAGATCTCAGAAGTATGAGTTGGCATTTTGATTGGAACTGCATAGAACCTGTATGGAAGTTTGGGGAGAATGGCCATTATGACAATCTTGGTTTTCTCTATTCAGGAGCAAGGGATCTCTTTTCTATTTTCTAATGTCCTGTTCACAATTCTTCTTTAGAGTACTGTAGTTTTCTTTGTAGAAATCTTTCACTTCTTTGGTTGGTTTAATTCCTAAGTATTTTATTTTAATTGAAGTGAATGTGAATGGTGTTGATTCAATAATTTCCTTTATTTTCCATTCATTGTTGGCAGACAGAAATGCTAATGATTTTTGTGTGTTGATCATGTATCCCACCACTTTGTGGAAATTCGTTATTAATTCTAAGAGTTTCTTCATGGAATTTTTTGGATATTCCATGTAGAGTAATTTTCAAATAATGATAATTTGAATTCTTCCTTTCCTGTATGTATCATTTTTGTGTATTTATCTTGCCTTATTGTTTTAGATAATGTTTTAAGTACTACACTGAATAGCAGAGGTTATAGTGGAAACCTGTCTTGTTTCTAATTCTAGGGAGAATGCTTTTAGTTATTCCCATTTACTATGATACTGGCAATATCATATTCAGATATGGTACTTTTAAACCTGTTTTCTTCAAGGTTTTCATCATGAAGTGTTGTCGGGTTTCGGCAAAAGCCCTTTTCTGCATATATTTATATAATCATATGATTTTTTTGACAGTGCTCCGTTTTATGTGATGTATTATATTTATAGACTTATGTATGTTGAACCATCCTTACATCTCTGGGATAAAACCTAGTTGATCTTGGTGTATAAGCTTTTTAAAATATGCTCCATTTTAATTGCTAATATTTTTGTTTAGGATTTTTTCATCTATGCTCATTAAAGAGATTGGTTTATAGTTCCCTTTTTAGTTAGGTTTTTATTTGGTTTGGGGATCAGGGTGATAGTGGCTTCAATAAATGAATTTAAGAGCACACTGTCCCTTTCAATTTCTTCGAACAGTTTGAGGAGTATTGGTAATATAATATCCTTAAAGATTTTATAGAATTCATCTACGAATCTATAAGGTCATAAGCTTTTATTAGGTGGTAGATTCTTTATTACTGAGTCAATTTCATTGCTTCTGATTGTATCATTATGTATATTTGTGGCTGCTTGCATTAGTTTTGGTAGATTTTATTCCTTCAAAATTTGTGAACTTGTTGGAATATATTTTTTCAAAGTAGTCACTATCTTCTGGATTTTCACAGTGTCTTGCTACGTCAGCTTTGTCATTTTTGTAAGTCTTTTCTCTCTCTTGGAGAATTTTTCTAAGGGTTGGTCTCTTTTATTTATTCTTTCAAATAACCAGCTCCTCACTTCATTGCTTTGTTTTATAACATTTTTGTGTCTTTCATTAATTTCTATTCTCACATTTGTACTTTCTTTAGTTTCAGTTTGGGACTGGTTTATTATCATTTCTCAAGTATCTGAAGGTTTATTAGGTTATTTATTTGGGCTTGCTCTGTTTTCCTAATGTGCACATGATTTGCAATAATTTTTTCTCTTAAAACTGCTTTAAAAGTGTAATAAAAGTTTTGTTGAGTTGTGCAGTCATTGTCATTAACTTTCAAAATTTTAAAAATTTCTTTGATTTCTTCTGTGACTCATTGTTTGTTTAGGAGTATGCTGTTAGTTTCCCAAGAGATTCTACCTTTTCCAAATTTTCTTCTGTCAATGATTTCTACTTTCATTGCACAGTGGTCAGGTAATATGCATGGGGTAATTTCCATACATTTATATTTACTTAAACAGGCCTTGTGGACTAGTATGTGTTCTATTTTGGAAAAGGTACCATGTGCTGTTGAAAAGAATGTGTACTCTGCTATGGATGGTTGGACTACTCTGTATATATCTAAGTCCATGTTCAAGGATATGTTTCAGCTCTTAAAATTTTTTCAGTTTTTGGTTTAGTTGATCTGTCTCTTTTAAATACCCTACTAAGATTGTGTTAATGTTTAGTTGATCTTTTAATTTTAGCAGTAATTTGTAAATAAAGGTAGGTGCTCCAATATTAAAATCATATATGTTTGGGAATGTTATCTCTTCTTGTTGGATTGTTCCTTTAATTAGTGTGTAGTGACCTTTTTTGTCTTTTCTAATGCTGTGTCTGATATTAAAATTGCCACCCTTGATAGTATTCTGAGTCCTGGTGCATGAAATGTTATTTTTCGATTCTTTAATTTTAAGACTATGAGTATCTTTATGGATTAGATGGGTTTCTTAAATGAAACGGATTGTTGGATTCCATTTTGGTCCAGTCTGTCAGTGTGTGTCTTTTGATAGGAGAGCTGAGGTGGTTAATATTGATTGATATTACTAAGATATGTTGGCTCTTTACTATTTTTGTCTCTTTTATCTCTTAGTATATCACTTTCTTTATTTTCTTTTTTTTATTTTATTTATCCACTGACCTTACTTCTTTCCTCTGTGTTTCTAGGTGTGTCTAATCCTATGTTTCTGTTGAAAATATTCTTGGTATTTTCTCTAGAGCTGGTATAGAACTCATAAATCTTCTGAACTTGTCATTTTCATGGAAATATCTTATTTCCCCATCTGTTTTGAAGGATAGCTTTGCTAGAGAGGCTAATCTAGGTTGGAAATTATTTGTTTTACAGGCTTGACCTGCTTTACTCCATGCTCTTCTGGACTCGAGGATTTGTCCTGATCAGTCTGTTGTGATTTGAATTGGTTTACCTTTATGTATGATTGTTTTGTTTTCCTCTGTCTGCCTTTAAAATTATGTTATTTTTTCTGTGCACATGCAAACATACAGATAATATTGCTTGGTGAAGTTCTTTCATCATAATTACTTCATGTTCTAAAAGCATCACTTACTTATTCTTTTAAATGTTTTCTTATATTTGAGAAATTTTCTTTGATAATTTCTATAAGCATGTTGGTGAATCCATCTGTGTAGTTTTCTAGAATTTGTTTAAGTCTGATTAGGATTAGATTAGTTTTTTTTGTTACCTACTAGCTGCTAGATATATTAATATCATATTAGATATTAGATTAGATATTAGATAAAATATTATGAAATATTTTCCCAGTATTCCTATACTATCATTTTAATATTATTTAAAATAGTCCTACTATTTATGACTCCTCACCATTGAATTTCTAATTAATTTTTTTGACTTTAAGGCCCCGTTGATCTTACTTTGTTCTTAATGTTTACCTATTTCCTTTAAAATCATAGTTTATGTATAGATGAGATACTATTTGTACTTGATCTTCTGTATGCCCTAACACCACTTTGTATAATTGTCTCACAGTTCTGCTCTTTGTTTGCCTTTTGCAGTTCTGTTCATCTCCTCCAAATCTTCCTTCTATGTCACCCAGTTCATGTTCCCTTTTTGTCTTCTAAATTGTACTGCATTGTTCTTACCAGCTTAATTCTTTCTTTGTCTTTTTTAGTGTTTGCCACTAATCCTAATGATTCTTAACAAGAAAATTTTGTAATCTCTTATTGTTTTTGAAATAAAACCTTTGTATCTCTAGGCAGTGTTTATTCATTTGACATATTAACTTTCTTTCTGTTTCTAAGGATATAATTGAGTAATCCAAAATATAATTTTATTACTTTAGTTTAAAAATATTTACTTTCATCAAAGATTTCTTTCACTAGCTTTCTCATCATTTTTATGGAGCTGAAAAGCATTTACTCATTTCTACTACATGTTTTGTTTTAGTCTAAGTTATGTGATGTAATGAAGAAAACTAAGTCATTCTTTATAATTTCAATCATTAGTGTGATTAGATTACTATTTGTGAAACAAAAAAATGTCAAAATAAAGTGATAACATTTTGTAGTGTTAACCTAAGTGTAACAAATTCAGAGACAGTAGAGAATAATTAGGAAAGAATTTGTGTAAATTCAAACTTGCTTGCTATTTTTTCCTGCAGAATGTTCTGAGGATATAAATCAAACATGAGACAAAAGTGAGGAGATGTATAATGTTTGGAAGAAATACAGTTTAATGAAAAAATGGAGTAAAATACTAAAGTATACACTGGAGAGCTAAAAAGGTACAAAATCACAAATGTTGGAGTTTTAAAACTGAAGTGAATTAATTCATTTTATTTTAACTGATATAAGAAAATCTAAGTATTATATATATATGTATTAATAAAAATGTGATATTTTGATACATGTATAAACTTCGAATCATGTTAAGCATATCAATTTTGATAAGCATCAATCATTTGTTATAGTATAAATATTCAGAATCATTTATTTTAGCTCTTTGGAATCTACAGTACATTTTTACTATCTAAATTTACTGTACAACATCACACAAAGCTCCTTGCTTCTATCTGTGATATAGTATACACTGATAAAACTTTCCCCATCCATCCATCCTTTCTCCTCTTCCCAGGCTCTAGTAATCATCATTCTACATTGAATTTCTATGAATACCAACATTTTTAGATTCAATATATGATTGATATTTTGTGATACTTGTCTTTTTATGTGTAGCTTACTTAGCATGATACAATGGCTTTTTCTTTGCAACAGGTTTGCGATGAGAGCACAGATGTAGTTAAAACCACCACTGAATCAAAGCCAACATGGGAAAGCAAAAAACTCATATCAATATCATTGTCATGAGACACATGAATGTGGGCAAGTCTACCACTACCGGCTGTCTGATCTACAAATGTCATAGCAATGACAAAAGAACCATTGGAAAGTTTGAGAAGGAGGCTGCTGAGATGGGGCAGGGTTCCTTCAAGTACGCCTGGGTCTTAGATCAAATGAAAGCTGAGCATGAGGGTGATATCACCCTTGACAACTATCGCCCTGTGACTCTCACTGATGCTCTGATACACAGAGAATTTAACAAAAATATGATTACAGGCACATCTCAGGCTGATTATGCTGTCCTGTTTGTTGCTGCTGGTGTTGGTAAATTGGAACTTGGTATCTTCAAGAACAGGAAAACCCGTAAGAATGCCCTTCAGGCTGTGAAACAACTAATTGTTGGTGTTAACAAACTGGACTCCACTGAACCAGTCTACAGCAAGAAGAGATATAAGGAAATTGTTAAGGAAGTCAGCACCTACATGAAGAAAAATGGCTACAATCCTGACACAGTAGCTTTTGTGCCAATTTCTGGTTGGAATGGTGACAACATGCTGAACCCAAGAGCTAACATGCTTTGGTTCAAGGGATGAAAGGTCACTCATAAAGATGACAATGACAGTAGAACCACACTGCTTGAAGCTTTGGATTGCATCCTACCACCCACTTGCCCAACTGACAAGCCTCTGTGGCTGCCCCTCCAGGATATCTACAAAATTGGTGGTATCAGTACCATCCCTGTGGGGCAAGTGGAGACTGGAGTTCTCAAATCTGGCATGGTGGTCACCTTCCCATCAGTAAATGTTACAACTGAAGTAAGGTTTGTTGAAATGTACCATGAGGCTTCCAGTGAAGCTCTTCCTGGTGACAATGTGGGCTTCAATGTCAAGAATGTGTCTGTCAAAATGTTCAACATGGCAACATTGCTGGTGACAGCAAAAATGACCCACCAGTGGAAGCAGCTGGTTTCACTGCTCAGGTGATTATGCTGAACCAGCCAGGCCAGATCAGTGTTGACTGTGTACCTGAACTGGGTTGCCACACAGCACACATAACTTGCAAGTTTGTTGAGCTGAAACAAAATATTGATCATCAGTCAGGTAAGAAGCTAGAAGATGGCCCCAAATTATTGAAATCTGGTGATGCTGCCATCAATGACAAGGTTTCGAGCAAGCCCACGTGTGTCAGCAGCTTCTCTGACTATCCACGTTGGGATCATTTTGTCATTCAAGATTTGAGCCAGACAGTTGCTGTGGGTGTCATCAAAGCAGTGGAGAAGAAGGCTGCTAGAGCAAGCAAGGTCATCAAGTCTTCCCAGAAAGCTTAGGAAGCTAAATGAATATTGGCCCTAATACCTGCTACCCAGTCTCAACCAGTGGTGGAAGACTGGCCTCAACTGTTTTTCCCAATTGGCTATTTAAGTTTAATAGTAAGAGAATGGTTGTGCTGGGGATTTAGCTCTGTGGTGCTGCCACCTCTCTTGCAAGCACAAGGACCTAAGTTTGATCCTTGGGACCAAAAAAACCCAACCAACCAACCAACCAAACAAATAAATAAAAAAACTGGTTAATGATAACAATGAATCATAAAACCTTCAGAAAAGGAGAATATTTTGTGGACAATTTTATGTGTGTGTGTGTGTGTGTGTGAGAGAGAGAGAGAGAGAGAGAGAGAGAGAGAGAGAGAGGAGTTATTGATTTTTAAAATTAAAACTTTTTAGTGGAAACAATTTGACCAAAAATCTGTCACAGAATTTTGAGACTCATTAAAACAAAGTTTAATGATTTTTAAAATGTTGTAATTATCTCAAGTTCTATGTATGTACTCCCAATAGCAAGATTTTATTCTTTTTGATGGTTAAATAATATTCCATGGTGCATATGTACCACCTATTCTTCAGCTATGGACTTTTAGGGAAATGAATCCTTAGGTTGCTTATCTTTCTTAATTGTTGTGACTAACGTTGCATTGAACATAAGAATGTTGATGTCTCTTGACATTTTGATTTAATTTCCTTTGTAAGTGGGATTGCTAGATCATAGGATTGTTCATATTTATATTCGATGAACTTCCATATGATTTTCCATAGTGGTTATACTAACTCATATTCCTATCAACAGTATTCAAAACTTCACTCTTCTCTGAATTATCTCTAAACTTTGTCATTTATAGTCTTTTTACTAGAGGCCATTCTTATTGGAGTGAGGTGATATTTCATTGTTCTTTTGATTTTCTTTTTCCTAATGATTAGGAATATTGAGCATTTTTCATATTTCTGTTGGCTGTTTGTATGTATTTTGAGAAATGTCTATTTCTCATTTCTTAGTTGGGTTATTTACATAAGTATCTTAGATATTTTCTCATTGCTGTGACAAAATTCTAGCATCCATAATTTAAAGGAGGAGAGGTTTATTTTGGCTCCTGATTTCAGTCCATGGTAGGCTGGATCTAGGCAGAAATGCCATGTTGGAAGTGTCTGGGTAGATGACAGCTGCTCATCCCATAGAAGCTCAGATAGAGAGCTAGAAAGGAAGAGTCAAGGACCCTTTCATGTCATCTCCCAGGGACTGCCTCTTCTGAGAAGGCATTTAGTGCCCCCATTAACCAAATCACCTTCCAAAGCCCTATCTCGGAACACAAGAGACTCTTGGGGAACATTCTAATTCTAAACCATAGGAGCAACATTCTTTGAAAAAACTATAGAGCTTCTGAGTTAATTAGCCCTCACCAATAGTAAAATATCAAATGATAGAAAGATAGATGTGGTTATCAGAGAAGTACCTTTGAGCTGATAGAACAGTTCTACAATTAGACGATGGCTACCTCGATTGGTACACATGAGAAATTTGCATACAACTCAAAACACACATTTGTGCACATGTAAATTTGGTTCAATCGAAATGAATTTCATGTACAACAATGTCAATTTCCTAACTGTAATATAATACTACTTCTAAAATATTACCACTAGAAATATATTACCACTGGAAAAACTGAGGCATACAGGGACACTTTCTGCATTATTTTTATAACTGCTTGTACACATATAAGTATTTTAACATATTATATATACAATAGGTACAAATTTAGGTAAACAGTAATGCAAAAACACAAAATGGGAAGTAGAAGCAAAGGAGATGGAAGAAGACAAGGATGGGGATAAAATGGAAATTATACCAATTAAATGAAAATAAAGTTTATAATATTTTAAAAATATAAAAAGTATACTAAAAAGAATCAACAAAAGTAAAATTTGAAAAGCTTATAACAATAAAATCCTGTCAAGATGATCAAGAAGTAAAATACTTAGAACTCAGTTAACAGTGAAAAATGGGAATATTGTGATATATTCTAAATGTGGTGAAGTAATGTGTGATACCACACATAAAAGAAACAATTCAGACAAAACTGTATCCAAAATGATTCAAGATTTTTTAAGGAATCTGAATAATTTTATGAAAGAATTGATTTCATATCTTTAAATCTTTTACATATAAAACTATGATCAGGAGGCTTCAAAAGTTAATCCAAGTAATCATTTAATAAAAAGTAACAAAATATAACAAATTCAAGAATATAAAACATTCAAGGATATAAAATAATCACTAAAATCTACTTTAATTGATGAGTATGATTCATACAGACTCTGACAATGACATAATAAAAGATCTTAATCCTACTATCTTCACATGAATGTTGTTTAGGTTATTAGTTGCACTAAAATAAAAATTTAATCTGCTTTCTACGTGAGACTGTAAATAAATAAATAATAGTAAAATGTTATTCTTTAGAATATCAATTTAAGGCAGGAAAATAAAGCATGGAAGTATTTCATAAAATCAAATTCAAGTAAAAACCATAATTTATTTCTGCTTTTTTTGTGTGCCAGGGACATGGGAAATATTTCATAAAATCAAATTCAAGTAAAAACAATAATTTATTTCTGCTTTTTTTTTTTTTTTTTGGTGCCAGGGATTGAAGTCAGGACTTTGTGCTTGCAAAGCAGGCAGCAGAACCACTGAGCTAAATCCCTGGCCCAAAAGTCCACATTTCTAATCAATGATTTAAGTTGGAATTAAAAATTTCTTAGTGGAATGTGGGTTATGGATATTAAAATTCAATCAGTGACAGGAACCTTGTGTACTATTGTCCAATAACTGGTTCTGGAAGTGAGTAGCATAGATTTTAGGGACTGAAAACACGAAATCTCTATGTTTCCAGAGAACAATTATCAATTTTCACAATTAATTATTTTATTAATTATCTCTCTTCCAGCCTTTATTATTTTAGAAAAGTCCCAATTACTTATTAAATGGCAGGCACAATGGAATATACCCGTGAAAAATATTTTTATTTCTAATTCATTTTATCTCTTTCCTTCCCTGTATCATGCCTGATATTATACATTTTTTCACTAGACTGAGAGATCTTTCCTATCTTTAGGGTACACTGGGGAAGAATGGTGTGGAAAAAAAAGAGAAAATAACAATCTTTTTATAAGTTTCTTGCTTCCAGGACTAAAATCTCCTCTCTGAAGAAAGTTTGCTTTCATGAAAGGGATTAGAGCAAGCCTTTCACCTTCCAGGGCTCCATGGGATGATTCCTGTGCTTTCAGGGTCTTAATATTATTTGTATGTGTTGTGTTCTGGTCACTGGTTATATTTGTCTAAATCTCCACCATGTGTCAATAGATTTTCAAGTGATTTTTTATTTCATTAGCAACCATTCCCACCTATAATTAAAAAATCATTTATCAAGATTACTTTTAAACCTAGCTTTCCTGTTCTATTACCTCTGGGTCCCTAGCTGAAAAATCACAGTGCAGAAAACCTCATGCTTGTCTTCACATTGCCCAAGTTCTTCTTGAGCACCTTCCCTCGTGTGAATCGGATTGTTTGTTTAAATCGCTGCCACAAATGAATCCTGTAAAACTAAGTTTAGATATTTTTTTTGCTTGTTTTATTTACCAAATAAAAAGAAAGAAAAAAATGGAATGGGCATTCATCTCTTGCTGACACCACAACAGCCATGTTATTTTTTAAAATTTCTAAAACTTTATTTCTAAAAATAAAAATTTTATTTCTAAAAATATTTATGTAGTTCTGGGGAGTAACTCCAGAACCTTGGTAATATTGTGCATGTGACATACACAAATTAAGTTACTTTACTCATTCCAAATCTGAGAACAAATAATTTAGCAATCAGAACTATAACCCTTTCAATAAGGTTGTTGAAATGACCCAAACTGCAATGATTTTCCTTTTTCACAAATAAGCAAAACATGAGTATAGACATCACAGACATCAGTTTTTATCTTTGAACTCATCTCTCTTGTTTAACGTAATCAATAGTGATTCTGACAAAGGAAAACAAATTATTAAATTTTAGGAGATACAATGCTGTAGACAGAGTGCTGTAGATATTTCAGCAAAATATCTAAAAAAATACAATTAAATTCAGTGAAATGAAGATATCTTTTTACATTGTGAAACATAATAAATTCTAACCAGGGTTCTGAAAAAGGGGAAAGAGTCTCAGAATGGGGACCAGCAGATACCATACAGCATACTACTTATCAAGTTCAATTGAGTGGAGTGCATTATTTCCTTTCTTTAATGTATTCATGTGTTTTTCTGAAATTTATAGTGAGAGGAAATATCACATAAATTTGGAGGAAGCTTCTCCTGAGAGACAGATATTCCAGATTCAACTCTCTCATCTCCCAGGATTATAATCTTCTCCAGTTACTTATAATATTTCTCTGCTTCACTGAATATCTCATGCAGTAAATAAAAATAAATAAATCAAATATTCCAAAACACTTGTAGGAATCTCTCACTCCTATTCATTTCCTCTCTCTTTCTGCAACTTTTGCAGTAACATTCCTATCCGCTATTGTTTTGGATGTGGTTTAAATGTGCCCCCAGAAATTCACATGCTGCAATGTTTGTCCTCCATGCAGTGATGTGAGAGGCGGGGAAGCTTTAAGAGGCGGGGCCCAGCGGAATGATTAGGTCTCTGGGGACACCGCTCCTGAAAAGGATTACCGTAATTCTCCTGATCCAACTATTATGTAACACAACAATGACATCTCTCTCTCTCTATTTTTATGTCTTTCTGTTCTTTGCTTCTTTTGTCTCAATTATAGATTTTACTGGTTCATCAAAATTGCACATATTTACTGCATACTTATTGTAATCTTGGCTTTCTAAGGAATACATGGATCAGGGATCCTAATCTCGGACTTCAAGAGGCAGTTTCCTGGGGGTGTTCTTGGAGAAAAGACTGAATGAACACTGGGGGATAGAGTAGGGAGTAAAGGAGAGAGAAGACAGCACG